TAATTTGTCCACCATCAACACCAAGTCAAATTCCTAGTAAGTGCAAACCTACTTGGCAATTAACATGATTCTGATTCTGATTAAGCACCCTAGGAAATGACTTCTACAGATGCAGATCAGAGGAGGTTGTTTAGAGTTTGATGTCTAAAGCTTGATGGCAGCTACAAAAAGTCTGTGGCTTCCTGACGACAGTCAATATGCATGTATAATTCTGAGCCTGCTTTGGTGGATATCAGTTTACTGAAATTGTCTTTTCAGTCGCCCCCCAAAAAGAAGGTCTTATATGAATCGACGGGAGCCAGAGATTAATAAGACATTCCTGCCCACAATCAGTGTATGCAACTTCTGACTGTGGTGAACGCAGATAGGAAAGGCTCAGAGTCGGCTCATGTAATTGTGATTCATATCATTACTTAGTGCGCAGCAAACTTGAATTTGGTGACAAGATTTTAAATGCATGCAACCTGTTACCTGGAAAAGAAATAAACAAGAGACCAAATGATAGAGAAATGTTTCCATATCCTACAAAAGTCTTTCTCTTGTCCTTTTACTGCATCATGTAATCTATGAAACAATCATTTTAGGACAGATTCCCAACTGGGTCACCGTCGCTATGCACAACTCAGCAGCAAAAACTGAACATTTGTAATTTCTTTTTTCTTTGTGCCTTAAACTAATTTGACAGGCTTTTCCCCAGGCTGGCCACTAGAGGGTAAAAGCCCTTTCCCTTCCTATTCTTTGAGTTTATTCCTGATGCTCACTCATGACCTACAAATCACTAGTCAGCAAAGAGAGAGAGCAGAGGGAGAGAGGGAAAGCAAGGGCCTATATAATCCAGCTCTGCTCCATTTAAGTGTACTCAGCCTAAGAATAAAAGGCTATAATGTCAGAGTATTGCAGAATAAATATACCACACCTCATGCAACACATGAGGTAAATCATGAAAAGAAAGGAATAATAAATAGATAAAGATGTAAAAAATCATTAGCAGAGCTAGGTTTCTGTTTGCCACAAAGCATGCAAGAAGGTTCATGTGTAAGGATGTATATCTATTCTGCATCACTCATAAAAAAAAAAAAAACTTTATCATTATGAAACACAGTGCAGGCAACAACAGAAAGCAGAATAAAGCTGGTCAGCATTAATGGGAGCCGGATAGAGCTAAAAAAAAGAAAAGACAATGATGAAAACTAATTTGAAAACCCTGAAATTTTGCAAGTTCTCCAACTTCAAAATCATGGAGAGCTCTAAAATAATCATTGTAGGTGCAAGTCCACTGTGAGAGTCATAATCTTAAAAAAAAAAA